TGCTCTTTCTGGGAGCTTCTTTCTACCTTATCCTCTAGCTTGCTTACTCGATCCTTGGCTTCATTTAGCCTGCTTTTGATTCCTTCTACTGTGTTCTTCAATTCAGAAATTGTAGTCTTCATTTGCTCTTGTCTCTTCTTGATAGTTTCTATGTCCTTTTTCATGCTGATATAGTTTGCAGTAAGTTCTCATAATTTCCCTGTAGTTTTTGGTAATTCTTTCTGAGCTCACTGAACTTCCTTAGAACTGTTTTTTTGAACTCAATATCTGATAGTTTACTTGCTTCTATTTCTTTTAGTTATCTTTCTGGGATTCCTCCTTTCCTTTCAACTGGGGGGTGTTTTGTTGTCTTCCCATTATTTCTGAGACTCTTTTTTTGCTTCTGCTTCTTGAATTGATCTGTCTTGATTTCCTGATGTTGTGGTGTGAATTCTATGGTAGGAGACTGCTGTTTTTTCTTTCTGGACCTGTCTCTGATGTCAGATGTTGACCCTATCTGACCTTGGGCAGTATGTTCCAGACTTCCAGGGATCTACTGTCTGTGGCTGTGTCCATCAGTTGTTAACCTAGTCACTGCATTCAACAGTCAGGCTTAGATACCACAGGGTGGGGCAGAGTCCCTCCTGAGTGGTGGGGTTTTTGGGCTCTCTCACACTGCTGCTGCTCAGGGGAGTGGTCTGCCTGAAGCGATGCCTGCTGCTGTATGCGGAGGAGTAAGCACCAGGATCCTGCTGGCTACTCTCTCTGTTGTCTCCTCAAAGCCTCTGTCTGCAGTCTCTCCTCAAGTGTCTCTAGACCACTCTGCACCCCCTTTAACCAGGGAACTACTATCTGTGGCTGCCACTCTGTACTCAGCAGGCAGGCTTTAGCACTAATAGGCCCTGGCCAAGTCCCTCTTGGGGGTGGGGCTATTGTGTTCTCTCATGTTGTTTCTGCTCAGGGGAGTGGTCTGCCTGAGCAAGATGTCTGCTGCCATACTGGGGAGGAGTCAGCACCAGGACCCTACCACCTACTCTCTCAGTTCTCTCCCCAAAGCCTCCATCCCCAGTCTTTCCTCAGGCATCTCTAGCCCACTCTGTGCCCACCTTAGCCAGAGATTAGGGTAAGTGGCTACAACTAAAAATTTATGTGTTGGCCCTTTAAAAGGCTCTTTGCGTCTCCAGCTGCCTGTCTCTGGCAGAAAGCAACCCTGCTGCTTTTCGTAGCTGGCTGTTATCTGTATACTTTTTGGGCTTTGGTGTTGTAGGCTGCAGATCCCTACCTATGGTTTATATCCTGCTTTTCTCAGGGGATCTAATTGGCTGTTTCAATATCCTTCTGGTGCTGCTGCCTGTGGGTGCCCTGTCTGCCTTCTCAAGTCTCTACTGCACTCCTCACCAGTTTAGTTGTACTAAAGCTGATTCTTCTGTCTGTATGAGGTTATAAGGCTTCTCTCTCACTATTGTTCAGTTGTTCATTCCAGGTGATTTCTCCATAATTTAGTTGTAATTCTAGGTTGATCCTGGGAGGAGGTCAGTGTGACTTCCACTCACTCCTTGGCCATCTTGATTCTCTTCCATTACTTTAAAAAAAAAAAAAGACTTTATTAAGAGCAGTTTTGAATTCACAGAAAAATTAAGAGGTTTCCAATATATTCTCTGACCCCATACATGCAAAACCTCTCCATCAACAAAAACAACCACAAGAGTGACATATTTGCTACAATGGATGAACCTACCCGGATGCATCATTATCACTGAAAGTGATAGTTTTCTCTAGGTTTCATTCAGGTTGTTATACATTCTGTTGTTTTGGACAAATATAATGAAAATTATCCATCATTATCATATAATGCAAATTATTTTTACCACCCAAAAGTTTCTCTATGCTCTCTCTATTCAACTCTATTGTCCCTCAACCACCTACTGCAAAAACTTACCTTTCTACTGTCTTCATAGTTTTGCTTTTTCCAGAATGTCAAATAGTTGGAATCATATAGTATGTAGCCTTTTCATATTGCTTCATGTAATAATTGGCATTTATTTTTCATTTATGTCTTTTTAATGGAATGATTTCTTTTTTGTGCAGAATAACACTCCATTGCTTGGATGTAAAATTTATCTATTTACCCACTGAGGGACATCTTGGTTGCATCCAAGTATTGACAAACATGAATATAGCTGCTGTAAACATTCATGTGCAGATTTTTGTGTGAATGTTTTCAACTTCTTTGGGTAAAACCCAAAAAGTGGGATTGCTAGATCATATGATAAGAGTATGTTTAGATTTTTAGGAAACCTCCCCACAAATCATCTTTCAAAATGGCTATACCATTTTGCATTTCCATCATTAATGAATGAGAGTTTCTCTTGCTCCACATCCTCACCAGCATTTGGTATGGTTAATTTTCTGGATTTTGTGCATTCTAATATATGTGTAGTGATATCTCACTGTTTTAGTTTGAACTTCTTTGATGTCATATGCTTAGAAGCATCTCTTCATATGCTTATTTATAATCTTTATATCTTCTTTGATGAAGTGTGTGTTAAGGTCTTTGGCTCATTTTTAATCAAGTTGATTGTTTTCTTAATGTTGAAGTTTAAGATTTCTTTGCATGCTTTGAATAACATCCTTTTGTCAGTTATCTGGATATATATAAACACTATATGTTTTGATATACATTCTTATCAGATATATATTTTGAAAATATTTTTCCAGTCTATGACTTATCTTCTTCTTCTCTTGAGATTTTTTTTGTTTTTGCAGAGCAGACATTTTAATTTTAATTAAGTTCAGAATATCATTATTTCTTTCATGGATTGTGCCATTTGTGGCACAATACATTGCCATTCCTAAAGTCATCTTAGATGTTCTTCTAGGAGTTTGACATCTTTGAATTATACCTTAAGTTTTATGATCAATTTTGAATTAACTTTTCTGAAGATGCAAGCTATGTTTTCTATATACATTTTTTGCAAGTGGATATTCAGTTGTTCTGGCACCATTTGTTGAAAAAACAATCTTCGATTTATTGTATTGCCTTTACTCTTTATCAAATACAAGTTGACTATATAGTATATACACATATAACTTTTCATTATTTTTCTTTTCTAATTCCATTATCTAAAACTTCCAGTATGATTAGAAAGGGGTTATGCGAGAGGACATTTGAGTTTCTGACATATTTTCTTTCTAAGGAACTTATTTTAACATTTTTTTTTTTTGCAAGGCAGATCCACTGGGAAACATATCTTATTAATTTTCATTTGCCTGAGAAAGCCTTTATTTCTCCTTTACTTATAAAGGATAATTTCACAGGGCCCTGTCCAGCATGGCTCAGTTAGTTCACTATTGTCCCACAAAGTGAAGGGCCAGTGGTTTGATTCCCTGTCAGGATACATGCCAAGGTTGAGGGCCTGGTTCCTACTTGGGGTGTGTGCGAGAGGCAACCAACTGATGTTTCTCTTACTCATTGATGTTTCCTCCTTCTTTTTCTTCCTCCCTCCCCCTCTCTCTAAAAATAAATAGAAAATCTTGAAATAAAAATATAAATAAGTAAAAGATAACTTTATAGGGACAGAATTCTAGTTTCTTTTTCTCTTAACATTTTAAATATTTCACTCTCCTTGTTTGCATGGTTTCTGAGAAGTCAGATGTAATTCTTAACTATGATTCTCTATAGGAAATATGTCTTTTTTCCTCTATTTTTTATTCAAAAATTTTTGTTTATCTTTGATTTTCTGTAGTTTCGAAATTACATGACTAGGTACAGTTTTTTAGCATTTATTCTGTTTGGTGTTTTCTTAGCTTATTTCATGTTTTCTTTGTCCATTCTTCTCTTAGTTGACACTTAGGTTGTTTCCATGTCTTGGCTATTGGAAATAATATTTCAATAACATGGAAGTGAAAATATCTCTTTGAGATAGTGATTTCATTTCCTGAAATTGTATATATATCCAGAAATGTGATTGCTAGATCATGCGGTAGGTTTATTTTTAATTTTGTGAGGAACTTCCATGCTGTTTAGCATTGTAGTTGTACTAATTTACATTCCCACAATTTTTTTTTTTTGCTGTTTTTGTTTTTATTTTAAGAAGTTCACACAGCTTCCCCACCTCCGTCCCAGCACTGCTTTGGGTGACTCCTTCCCTAGACCTCTGTGAATGATAGTGACAGGCCAGAAGGGAGGCTGGGTACCAGCACAGGAGGAAGCCATAGCCTGAGGGCCCCCTCTGGCCCTACTATGTGGCTAATGCCCCTCCTGTCCTAGGGCTGTGGTGGCTGCAGTGAGGCAGCAGGATGGAATGTGGGCAGGGGGCCAAGAAGCACCTCTATCCTTGTGGCACTGATAAGGAGCAGGACAGGTGGGGTACAAGCTGTGATGAGGTGCCTACATGTCAAACACACATGAAGGGTGGAGCTGGGGACCCCAGAAAAGGTTGTCTCCAGGTCATTCTTTATGTGCACAGGAGGATGGGAGGGAGCTGCGTTCACCCACCGCCCGCCCTCTGAAAATATATGTATGGCGATATATAATATAGAGGTATATATACCTGTACAGAACACGTTTGCTACCAACCACTAAATGGTTACACTACACCAAGATACTAACATGGCCCCCCGCCCTGTCACCTTCCCAGGAGCCTGGGGTCGGCGTCACCAGGAATGGGGAGGTAGAGGCCCAGCTCGTTTCTTCCCTTGCAGGGAAGAGAAGGGAGGGGATTTGTGCCTTGCCCACCTGAGCAAACTGCAGGCAGACAGGTTACCTCCAAACTCACAAAAGGAGGTCAAATAGAACACCCCTGGCCTGTCCAGGTCTCCCGAACCCGGGGGTGGACACAGAACTGCTGCTTGGCAGCATCTCTCTTGGGTGAGCCTGAGCCAGGGAGGGGAAAGCAGGGCCTGTGTTGTCAGGACTCACAACTATGCAGAGGCTGGGTCAGGCAGCAGAGAATCGAGCTCCCTAGAGTTCCTGAGGCTCCCAACTTCCAGCCCCTCCAGTCCCCTGGCAAACCTGAGAGCTACAAGCAGGAATCCCAATGTAGCTGCAAGTCATGGCCGTCAAGGAAGTCCGTGGAGAAGAGGCTGGGCGCTGCAGTGCTGAGTGGGGCTAGGCTGAGCACGGGGCCGCCTGACGACAGCTCCAGCCAGTCCATGCTGTCCAGGTGGCCATCAGCCAGGTCCAGGCCCATGCTGCTGGGCTCAGGGGCAAAGTGCAATTCAGAAGTGTCCATGGGTGAGGGGGTGGGGGTTCAGGATGGCAGAGCTGCTCAGCATCTGGCTATGGAGGTCGTCAATGAGGGAGAGGGGCTCTGGCCCCTCGTGTCCACTGGTCAGCAGGGGTAGCCCTGTGCTGCTCTCCAAGAAGTCCTCCAGGCGCCCAGGGAGGGCAGGTGAAGATGATAGAGGCAGGACAGCCTGGGGAAGCTCAGCAGAGGGTGGGAAATGTGTGGCCAGGGGTGACCCGCAGGCTGCTGTCGAGGGGGGCTTCCCTTTCCCTGGCAGGGATGGCGGCTCCTTGAAATCTGCTGAAATTTCTCTACTCCGAATGAGAATGTCAAACAGGTCATCCATCTGTTGACTTGAGGAACCATTTTTCTTCTTCACCTGCTGTCTGGGCTGCCGGTTCACGGGTTCCTCATAGCCAGGCGGCTCCTTCTTCAGCAGAGAAGTGGGAGTCCCAAAGTGGGGCTGTGGCGGGGTCTCCAGGTCCGTCTGGGCTGGTGGGCCAGGGGCTGGAGAACCCGGCTGGGACAAGGGCTGCTGAGGGCTCCCGCTGGCCAGGCCAGGGCTGTCTGGCCACGGTTCCTATTGGTCACGGTGAGGACAAGGTGGGTCCCTGTGGAGTCAGTGATGACGGTGGGAGGCGTGACCCCCTTGGCGAGGCCGGGGTCCGGTGGGCCCAGAAACAGCTGGGGTGCGGGGGCTGACTCCGGTTGGGCAGCGCGGCTTCCTGCTTCACCGCCACCGCAGGGGGCACCAGGGCACAAGTGTCGACGTGATGGGCAGTGGGGGCTGCCAGGCTGGGGCTGAAGCGGGGAGCAGGGCCCAGGGGCTGCTGGCTCAGCTGGCAGCTGGAGAAGCTATTCTCTTGCTTCACTGGGACGCCAAGAGGGGTGGGAGCGGGGACAGGGGCCAGCGTTGGCTGCCGAGCCCTCTTCTCCTGCTCCAGCTGCAGCCTGAGCCATTCTACCAGCTGCTGCTTCTGCCGGAGCATGCGGGTCAGCTCCTCGATCTGCTTGTCCTTTTCCTGCAGCGTCTGGTCCTTGTCACGCCCCTCCAGCTCTGCCCGCACCCCAGGGCTCACTCAGCAGGACCCAGCCCGGGGACCCTCCTCCTTGACGATGATCTGCAGTGGTGAGGCCTGCAGGCTGAGCTGGGTCAGTGGTGATGTCACCATCTCGCCAAAGGTGTCCCCGGGCGTGGAGTTCTCGTCGCCTGTGCTGAGCAGTGAACGCTCTGAGGGAGTAGGAGACACGGGAGTGTGGAACCTGTGCTGCCAAATTTCACCACGCCGTTGCTGGTCACTGTGGCCACTACCACCTCTGCTGGGGCCAGGCTTGCTGCCACCAGGGCAGGCCCTGTGCTTAGTCGGGCTGCCGGGAAGGCCACCACCACCTTGTCAGCCTTGGGCAGGATGGAGGTGGCAGCAGGGACCTTGGGGGCTCCTGGGGCAGGGCTGACTTGTTCTTGGTAGGCCCGCAGGCACTCGATCAGGTCTTTCTTGGTGCCTGAGACAGGCATTGACCGCAACTTCAGCTCCTGCTTTAGCACTGCCACCTTCATGTCGTCCAGGTTGGCAGGCAGGGTCCCCTGCTTGCCAGTGAGCGAGGTGCACAAGAGTTCCCTTCTTCCATATCCTTGCCAACACTTGTTATCTCTTGCTTTTTTGATAATAATCATTCTATTAGTTGTAAGATGACATCTTATAGTGTTTTTTAAAAAAGATTTTTATTTATTTATTTTTAGAGAAAGGGGAAGGGAAGGAGAGAGGAAGAGAAACATCAGTATGTGGTTCTCTCTGCACCCCCTACTGAGAGCTTGACCTGCAACCCAGGCATGTGCCCTGACTGAGAATTGAACCAGCAACACTTTGGTTGATAGCCAGCACTCAATCCACTAAGCCACACCATCCAGGGCATTATTGCGGTTTGGATTTGGATTTCCCTGATGATTAGTTAGTGATGTTGGGTGCTTCTTTCTATACCTGTTGGCAATTTGTATGTCTTATTTGGAAAATTTCTAACCAGGTCTTCTGGCCATTTTTTAAATCATTTTATTTATTTTTTTTAATATTGAGGTATATAAGTTTCTTATTAATATTGCAAATATTTTTACCCATTCCTTGTTTATTAATGTACATATTCAAATTTTACTTAGTTTACATTTTATGAGCTATAAAGATGTAAAATATTTTAGAAGATTAGAGTATATTTAAATAAGACATGTATACTACAGTACAAGGCAACATTTAATAAAAATAATATGAGTGATTTGTTGATAGTATATTTAGGTCTTTAAAAAAGATCTTATTCATTTATTTTTAGAGAGAAGGAAAGGCAGGGAGAAAGAGAGGGAGAGAAATGTCAATGCATGGTTGCCTCTTGTGTGCCCCCAACTGAGGACCTGACTTGTCACCCAGGCATGTGCCCTGACTGGGAATTGAACCAGCAACCCTTTGGTTTGCAGGTTGGCACTCAGTCCACTGAGCCACACCAGTCAGGGAAGTACATTTACTTTTTAAAGCAAGATGCCATTCTGCTGGGTAAGTTAGAGAAGATATCATGGAAGAGGGCTGAAGGAGCTGAGAAGGCTTATGTGCTGAACCTTGAATAATGGTTGTCTATCTGGTTGCAACTTGCACAGATAGCACCACCACCATGCACTTAGTCAACCAAGGACAAAACCTGAGAATCAATCTTGGTTTTTTCCCTTTATTTATTTATTACCCACAGCAGAAAAATTTACATAATTGGTATTGAGTGAGTAAGACCTGGTGATTGCTTTAGATCTCAAAAAATAATTAACTTGTCATTTTTTTCTTTGCCTTTGGACTATCTTTTATTTCTAGTCACTCCAGGAGCTAACCATGAATTTTCATGTTCTAGAGAAAATAATACAGATTTTGCAGTTGTAAGTGATGTTAGTATAAATACTGCCTCTACCACTGATTTTACAGTTGAATGGGTATTTCCCTTTCTTGTTTAATTCTCAAGTTTTGCATTCCTAGAGGACTGTGTTTAGTTTAAGAAAACAGAAATCTCAAATTATGTAGCTTAGAGGAAATAAAAGTTTATTTCTATCATATGAAAATATACATTGAGATAGAAGATCTAGAGATGTTATATGGCTTCCCCCAAATGTCAGCAATTCAGGTCAGTTTCAACTCATTGTTTTGACATGTGATATTCATTGTCAGGTACCAACCAACACATCTGCATTCCAGCCAGCAGATGGAAGAAATGATATTAATAATAATGAGTAAAATGCAAAGAACTCACACCAGCTATCAATTGAGGGCTTTTTAAAGAAGCCAGAACAGAACAGTTCCACTTAAATTTCATTGGTCAGAATTTATTCACATGACAATACCTAGTTACAAAAGAATCTAGGAAATGTGTTCTTTATTTTTATACTCCAAGCATAGCTAAAAATTGAGAAATTTTGTTTTGTTATTAATAACATCAATAATAACAAGAGAAAAAACACTAAATGTTAATAAAATTTAACATTTTATTATTAATAAAACCATGTCTGGTTCATAGCATTTGTTAAATTAATGACTATATTTTGTTTTTCTGATCCAGTCCTACTTTCCCTAAATTATATTTTCCAGTCTAATTTTACATTAAATTTGTCATGATTCTAGATATGAACATTCTTTGTCAGATTGGTGTTATACTAGTTTGTATGTACACAATGAAACTAAGTAGTTAAGTAATTATTAGAACAGACTGAAATTTTGCTCAGAATAGGTATTTCAGGTTTCATAAAATGTAAGTGCAAACCAAATACTTAAGTCATAAGAGTAGATGTCAAACTCCAATGAGAAATATAAGAAGTAAAATTAAAAGTAGCCCTGGCTTTAGTCAATACTGCATACATTTAACTTGCCTTTGGTGTCATCAGATTCCTGTTTGTACTCCTTCCACTATCACCTTCCTCCATGTTCTGACGTAGCTACACATTACCTCTGACGCTCTCTCCCAAAGCTTGGGAGATCTCGCTTGTTGCCCTATCAAAAACTGATCCATTCATTCTGAGAACATGTGATAAATAATGATGGAGGACAGCTTAAAGCGAGTGGATTCTAGACCGCTCATGCCTTGAACTCAGGTACAAGGTATCATGTTTAGAATTTTAGGAACAATGACATGGAAGACTTGCCAACACCATTTACTCATGGCTTTTACTCTTTCCATTGCAAAGCCAGGCTTAGGAATCTGTCAGGGCAGAGGACTTCCTCTCCCTGGGTCTGAGTTTCCACATCAATTAGATGAGAGGGTTGGACTCAAAACTACCAATGTCATACCCTGTAGTATTGTAACTTTTTTTGAATTGAACAAAATGGTGGAGATTTATGATTGTCAATGGGCTTGTGGTTTGTTCCAGTAAGATGAATAACTTTATTAACCATGATAACCAATCATCACCATTATTGTTGTTATACTAGGTTGTGAGCAGATGACACATGATTCCTGAGCAGTAAGTAAATATATGAAGAATTTACTGTTGTGATGAAATTGTTTATCTGACTTTTTATGGAACACATAATCCTTATTGTGTTGCAAAATCAATAGGAATAAATTATAAACTGTTCACTTTAAGGCTCATGATTAAAATTAGTTTTACAAAGACAATGTTTTTTAGTTTTATTATTTTATTTAGTTTCCTTGTATCTTGAATCAATATCAGTAGAGTTCAGCATTCAAAGAATGGATTCAAAATTGGGTATCTACCATAAAAGCAAAATGCATGATTTTCTAAATTCACTATATCTTTAACTAGAGGAAGAAGCAATGGGCTTTTCATGTTGGAGAAGCAGGAAGAAATTCAGAATTTTGTTCAATAAAAAATTTATAGGGGAGTGAATCTGAAGACTGAGTGTGTCTAATAAAAAATAGAATAAAAAAATAAAATTGTAATAACTGAATTCTTTATGTATCTGTTAAATGTCTAAGACAGGATGATTTGGTAAATTAAATTGCTACTTGCTTATAAAATTTTGGCTGGGTATTAAAAAAGGAACACTGTGTAATGGATGGACATCATTATGTTGAAAATATTTGCTGCCCATTTCCTGTGAAAGGAGTATGCTTCTGTTTCTTATGGACATGGGGTTTAGCCATGTGACTTGCTTAGTCTAAAGAAGTATGAGCTAAGTAATATCTGCCACCCTGGAGCATAAACTTTAGGAACACTGTGAAGTTTCAGCTAGATAACTTAAGAAGAATGGCCCAACTGCATGCCAGCAATTTAGGCATTCATAGGTCAAAGAAGGATAATAACCACAAAGAAATCCTGCCAGGAGACAAGTGCCCATTCAAACAAGGGGTCACCTAGGTTTTCTCTTAGTCTCAAATAAAAAGTTATTCACACTTCCAAAGGTTACTCTCTTAACAATGGCCTCAAAGATATGAATAATGGCATTATTTTTCCAGGCTAATGTCAAAGTAAGGAAAAAAGAAAAGAAGCGAGGCTTTTATGTTTAACTAAAGTAGGAGGTCTTGATTCAGTCTCTTGAGCAGGAGCAGTCTCCATCAACGTCAGTTACTTTTCTTCCTAGTAAATTTGATTTGAACATCTTCAGTGTTTCTACAGAAGCTTGTATCCGATGAAGTCTTCTTCAGCTGTGAGATGTGCATGCAAGGCTCAATGCCTTCTAGATTTGCAGCAGCATCGGTGGTTAAGAGGTCCCTTCAAGGGCTGCCCTCTTCTGGTAATGCTTCCAGAATACCTAGTCAGCAGGCTGTAGGCTGTGACCAAAAGGGTTACTTGGAATAAACTCTGGAAAATCTTCCTTGAGTTGTTAATGTGAGGCTTAAACATAAGACATTAAACATTAAAGACTAAGAGTAGCTGGTCATACTAGTCATGAGACAACAAGAGATCAGCAGAAGGTCGTATACCCATAAACACTGATCTGCCAGTGACTATCTCATGTGAAGCCAAAACACATTTTCTTACTATGAGGGCATTAGCCTTGAGGCAGGAGGAGGCTTCAACCTATTTGGAAAACATATACACATATAACAATAAGAACATATTGATAATTTATACTAAGTGGCATTTGAATAAAGACCAGTTGCAGGTGCTCAAAGGGTTCAGAAGGAGGAGCTCTGAGGCCTCTGAGGAAAAGAGTGTTTCTTGAATGCTCAATGGTGGGTAAAGAAAGGCAAAAACTAAGAATGGGTTTGGGAAGGAAGCCTGATAAAACCAAGTGGTCCTCTTGAGTTCCCCACAGCACTGACTGTTCATTCAATTTAGAGCCTTGTTTACTTATCTAAATTTCTGTGATTCAAGTGGAGACTGTTGCCATGTTACATGGATATCAGGATAGAAAAATGTTGACAATAAGGGACTTCTTTTTCAGCAGAGTGGACTTCATTCACATGTGCCATTATCTTTATAGATTTTATTGGTGCTGTCTTTGCATTAAGGTCAGTTGCTTGGGTGTTTCCCTAATACTCAGGTTCCGTACTTTTAGTATGAATCTCAGTTTTGATGATAGCAATTTAAGAAGGTAGTAGAATAGCAGTAAGAATATCATTATCTTGTTGCCCATTATTAAAGATCTAATTGAAAATTATCTATAATGAAATTTGGTTATCTCTGTGACACTGAATACTT